GCGGCGGCGCCCATGGACGCTAACCGCCCGGGCGCGTTCGTGCTGAGCAGCGCGCCCCTGGCCGCGCTGCACAACATGGCCGAGATGAAGACGTCGCTGTTCCCGTACGCGTTGCAGGGCCCGGCCGGCTTCAAGGCGCCCGCGCTGGGCGGCCTGGGCGCGCAGCTGCCGCTCGGCACCCCTCATGGCATCAGCGACATCCTGGGGCGGCCGGTGGGCGCGGCGGGCGGCGGCCTCCTGGGCGGCCTGCCCCGTCTTAACGGGCTCGCCTCGTCGGCCGGCGTCTACTTCGGGCCCGCGGCCGTGGCGCGCGGCTATCCCAAGCCGCTGGCCGAGCTGCCCGGGCGCCCGCCCATCTTCTGGCCCGGCGTGGTGCAGGGCTCGCCCTGGAGGGACCCGCGCCTGGCCGGCCCGGGTAGGTGGCGAGCGAGGGAAGCGGCGCGGGGCCTGGGGTGCGGCGCGCGGGGCGGCAGGCCAAGCTCACCCGCCCTCCTTTGCAGCCCAGGCCGGCGGGGTCCTGGACAAGGACGGCAAGAAGAAGCACTCACGGCCGACCTTCTCGGGCCAGCAGATTTTCGCGCTGGAGAAGACCTTCGAACAGACCAAGTACCTGGCCGGCCCTGAGCGTGCGCGCCTCGCCTACTCCCTGGGCATGACCGAGAGCCAGGTCAAGGTGAGCGGCTGGGGCGGGGCGGTCTCCCGCGGGCCCCGCTGCGCGAAGCCGACTCGGCGCCCGCGTCCGGCGAACGGTGTGCGCTCGGCCGCCAGCCCGCCCCGGGCCCAGCCCCGGGGGCGCCGCTGCTCTGCGGCCGGGCCGGGGTGCTGGCCGCTGCGGCCGCTGCACGTCCACGCGGGCGGCGGGGTCTCGCGTTGCACGGGTTGGGCGCTGCCGAGGCGCTGTCTGACGGTCCCCCTCCGCCGCAGGTGTGGTTCCAGAACCGCCGGACCAAGTGGCGCAAGCGGCACGCGGCTGAGATGGCGTCGGCCAAGAAGAAGCAGGACTCGGACGCCGAGAAGCTGAAGGTGGGCGGCTCGGACGCGGAGGACGACGACGAGTACAACCGGCCTCTGGACCCCAACTCGGACGATGAGAAGATCACGCGGCTGCTCAAGAAGCACAAACCCGCGAACTTGGCGCTGGTCAGCCCGTGCGGCGGCGGCGCGGGGGACGCCTTGTGAGCACGGGCGCGGCCGGAGCAACCAGGGTCGGGGCGGGCCGGCGCCCCTCGCCGCCGCCCGCCCGTGTGTATATATATTTTTACAGAATAAGTTATAAAGCGGCCGGCGCGGGCTCGGGAGGGCGCGGGGCCGCGCGCCCCGGGCGGAATCACTTTGTATAATCAATAAATTATTTAACACGTCCCCGGCGGAGCCGCGGCTCCGGAGGCTGCACCGCGTGTGTCTTCCTTCTCGAAACCCCCCGCCCCCGCGTCCCCCCCTCCCGCGGGTCCCTGCCACCCCAGTCTTTGTCCCCGCGGGGCCGGGCTGGCAGCGAGGCGCGCGGTGCGACCCCAGCCCGCGTGTCCCCAGGCCCGGGCGGCGGCAGCTCGCAGGAGCGAGGGGACATCGAGGGCCCGGCGCGGAGAAAGGCGACCCTGGCCCCGAGACCCCCTCGGCCGCCCCGGGAGCGCCGGAGGAGCCGCGAAGCCAGAGAGTGCCCAGCGGAGCCGGACGGGGCCGCGGACGGAAACGCAGCGGGCGCGGGGCGCGGCGCCGGCAGGTGCGCGCGCGGCGCCAGGTGCGGCGCCCCCTCCCACCCGCGCCCTGCCGGGGGCTGCAGGGCCGGCTCAGTGGCGGAGGTCGGCGGCAGGTGAGCAGTCACCCGCGCGCATCCCTCTTTTCGGAAACCCCGGGGCGGGCGCGGGGTAAGTCTTAGGCTGCCGCCTGGCTCACACCGATGTGTTTGATCTGATTACGCAGATCTTAAAATGCCTTAGCAGCTAAAGGTTTCCTACTGCACGCTAAGCGCGCAGCTCACGGATTTTAAGCTCGTCTGCAGCCCGGTTCCATAGTCTTTACTCCGTAGAAACTATTTGATTCAGACCGGGACGCCAAAGAGAAATCTCAAGTAACGCTGCCGCCCTGCGAGGGACAGCTCGCACTCACTCGCCCCGGGCCAGGCCCTCGGTGGCCCGCACCGGGCGCAGGGAGCAGGCCAGCGGCGGGGCTCCACATTCTGAGGCTGGTGCTCTGCATGCTTGCGTCCTACTGCGCGGTAACTCCTGCGTTGTAATTTTAAAAATTAAATATAAGTGATTACGTTATTATAAGGTTTCTCCTTGAAGGCATTTTTGAAACTGTTACAGAGAAACGGAAAAGGCTGATGTTTTCTGTTCTATGCCATGTGGCTGCACCATCAGTTTAAAAAAAAAACCAGACATTTCTTTTGAGCCACTGGCTGGTCTTGTTTTTAACAGAGCAATATTAAAATCTATTTTATTTCTGTGAGTGAATCGTTCTCTCAGCTCAAGTTAAGAGCAAAGGAATTCCCAGTTTTAAAGTTTTGAGGAAGGCAGTCCATTTTTATAACCTCGTCTTTAAATGCTGAGGGGTAATTCCCATTAGTTACCACTACAGTAAAAAACCCAAAAGATTATTTTTCTGCACTTAACTAATGGCTTGGTTTTGTGTAGCAATGTCTGATAGAATGACATTCCGGGATTTCTGGTGAGCCCACAAAAGAGCGCTCTCCCGTTACTTAGCATTTCAAAGGAGATGGGGACCAGGAAGGCAGAGAAACAAAGCAGACTCAGGACTGTTTTCACCATGATCAATTTTATTGCTTAGGAACCGGAGCAGTCATTTTTAGAGGCCTCCACAGTGACCAACAGCTGAAACCCCGTTACACAGAAGCTCGTGGGGCGGGCCTGCCGTGTGGCACGTGGACAGAGCAGAGCGGCCAAAGCACTGACCCTGACCGCGCTGTCAAGAACATATCAGCAAGCGGACACCCAATCACTTGCAATGGTAGTGATTTACCTAAAAACGAGCATCTAAGGCCTTCACCCAGTCCAGGAATTGTGTAGTGTTCTAAAGCGGATCAATAAAACATAGGTTGTGTTTCATCCACAGGCTCTGCAATGACCTTTTAATGCTGTACTTCGTGCTAGGGGCGATGGTCGCAGCAAGGTTACCACGTAGGCTGGGTGCAACGGAGCAGCCGAGGAAACTTACGGTTTTGTTTCTCTTAGTAGTTTTATATACAGCCCATGTTAAAAGCAGTTTCTATCTGAAGCAGACTAGGCTATTTTTGTTTCTCCCATGATATTATTGTTTTATGTAGAATACTTGGCACCATAGAACAGTAACAAAAGACAGACGGGACAGTTTACAAAATTCTTAAAAGGTACACCCGAGCTAGCTAGAAACTTCACATTCAGTTCTTAATATTACCCAGAAAAAAAGGTATAGGAGTAAGAATCTGCAAGTGTGGATGTGCTGTGGTCAACGTCCACGCAGGACGGCACCGCTAGGTCGCCAGGCTGGGTGGGTCTGTGCGGATGTGCACGTCCCCGAACTCCTCGACTCCATTCCTACCTGCCGACAGGACCCTCGCAAGCATTCGTCCCGGAGAGTATATTTAGCATAAGTTTTGGTAAGATTTATAAATTATTTTTAAAAAGTATATATTTATATATATTTATATATATAAAAATGGAAAGCAGCTGCAGTGTGATTCAAAAACCATGTAACGCGGCAGTAAATAACACGGAAGGGGAGCCGCCCGAGGCGAAGACCAGGGCCCCTTGTTCTCCTCACAGTGGCCACACTGCCGGAGTCGCAAAGAGCCCCCGCCCGCCACCCGCCCCCATGCACGCCTCCAGGTGGCAGAGGGGGACCTGGGACACCTGGGGGGTTTCCACGCCGGAGAAGCTCTTCCCACGCTGACAATTATTAAAAATGGAAACTCTGAAGTCTAAAATACAGACTCCCTCTCCTGTCTATAGAGTTTTGGCAACAGGACGGTGACTTATTACAAAAACCCAGTATTTCTACTTAATGTCACATGAACAGACAAGACAGTGAGGTATGTGAGGCTTTTCCGGAACGGTCCGGAGGCTGAAGCGAAGTGTGGGGCCGGCCGTCTAGCGGGTGGCGCTCGGGCGGGTTTGTCGATGCAGCTGTTAGGAGGACGTGTTTCAATGGATGGGACTCCCACTGGCTCCCGGCGCTACAGGGAGGTCTCGCGAAGGGCCCTCTGGTGTCGCTGGCATCGCCTCCCTGCCGTGGAATCGGTCACTCGTTAAAGGAACAAACACACCAGGAAAAGCTGAGAAAAGGTGAAGCCAAGGGAAGGAGTCATATTTACCACACGTCACTGCACGACACAACACTTGTGCACATGGGCGTGAGGTTTACCTGCCCCGGGCGCGATGCGGAAGGCCAGGAACACGGGCTGCAGCGGGAGAAGAGAGGGCATCAGAGCCCACGGCCACGCGCCCACCCTGACACCCCGACTCCGGATCCCTGCCCTCCCCCGGCTGCCCAAACTGTGTCCCCCTGCCTTGTGCGCAAGCACCAGCGTGAGACCCCAGTGACCTCACAACTGGAGCTGGGGCTTGAGTTTTGGAAAGGGCATGATTTCCAGGTAAAAACTCACGTAGAGTGCTGACTAACCCGGCGGCTGTGCCGGATCAACTCCCCCCGGCGCCAGTGTGGGGGGCGGCGCATCAGGACAATGCACCCCGTGGTAACGGCCCAGAGGCCTTGCACATGGGAAGTGCGGGTGTCTCCAATTTGGCTGAAGGTAAGACGTGGCCAGCATTGCCCTCAGTGAGACTTTGGGGCTCGGGGTTAGGGACGCTCACGCATATGAAGTGCGTCCCTGCACAAATACTCTGCGTCCCCCTGAAGGACGCATCTGTGTCCACTGCCATGAGAAGTCACGGTATCCCAAATGCACACTAGAAAAACAACCTTCGGAAATCACTGGCTGTGGACAGTATTTTGTTATAAATAGTAAAATTCTGTTATTTTATTCTACTGTGTCTTTTCTGCCTTCTTTACCTACCTACCTACCTTAGGGTATTTTATTACAATTACGTAAACACAGACCATCTGGGCAAGCGCTGTGTGGGCCGATGGAGGAGCAGTAACTCGGCCCGCCGTCCAGCCCCCACTGTCCAGCCGCCCGCTGCCCCCGCCGTCCAGCCCGCCGCCCGCTGCCCCCGCCGTCCAGCCCGCCGCCCGC